TATGCAATGCATTAATTACAAATCAATCAGCCATATAGGACCTACGCGTTTAAAAGAAACAAATAGGCTGGTGTGTTACCTGTATATCTCGATGGAAGATTCCCCCACAGATTTTGGTGGGATGTGATAACCACAGTTGCAATTTGGGAAATGAACCAGGCGAAACTTATTTATTTTCTTGTTTAATAAAACCTCTCCATAAACATCATAACTTCAGTGTGATACAATATAGAATTATATGCATAGATTGTAACACAAAGTGCAACTAAAAAGAAAAAAACTAGATCAAAGTACTGTTTGATGTAACCACTCTGTGTTTTTGAGCATGCAATGTAGGTACACATGCAGACATATAGTTTGCACACCTCTGTAATTAGTTTGTTATGTTGTGAGAATTTGGGGCCAATCAGAAATCTGCTTGTAAGTGTCTGAGTCATTCTGACCCATGAGCAGTGAAACGGTATCACGGCATCGTTAAAACTCCTGTTTTAATATATCAGCATTACATGTTTCACGTTTTTCATGTGAAACCTTTGTCTGCTAAACGTAACAAATACATGTGGTGAAAAAAAAAAGCATCAGATGAGTGGAATGATGACGCAATACCGATAAACCACCCATCCACCCATCCATCCATCCATACATCTTCTTTCGCTTATCCGGGGCTGGGTGGCAGCAGCAGCCAAAGCAAAGAAGCCCAGACCTCCCTCTCCCCAGCCACCTCCTCCAGCTTATCCGGGGGAACACCAAGGCGTTCCCAGGCCAGCCGAGAGATATATTCTCTGCAGCATGTCCTGGGTTTGCCCCAGCCTCCTCCCCCCTGATAAACCAATTCGAGTAAAAGTACAGTAACTACAATTTTTGGATTATACCTCAAGACATCACACCAAACAAACCAAGAAAATAATCAGGACACACCTTCAGGTTACACAAAGCCCAAAATAAACACACAACAGTGATGAAATCTTATTATTGCTAATGAAGGTTTTCATATTCCTTATTATTATCAATAACTTAGATAATGATGAATAAACCAGCTCATTAAGGAAACTTAATCAACAAAACAAAGATCTCAAGAAAACAGCAAACAACCAGACTGCCACTCTCTTTACACCTCGCTGTTGCACACACACA